TTTCATTAAAATTATTTTTCCTGTAAAATACCAATCGGAAGCATCGGATTTTTTGTCCATATTTGAAAAGATATTGTGAAAGGTTTTGGCATTGAAACCGAGGAGTGACATGTATTGTCTGTGATTCCCTTCCTCGACTATCTCTCCATCTATTTTAATTTGTCCTTTGAATGTTTTAAATTTATCAGAGATAGCCTTGATAACATCGGAAAATAGGGCGTTTTCTATCAATGTTTCATCAAGTTCGATTTTAATCATATTTTTTTAAGTGTATATTTTTGATTATTTCTTTATTTTGACCGCTGATATTTCTGTATGGAATTTGTCCAAAATTTCATTGAATTCTTGTAATTCTTCAACTGTTATGTTTTTGTCTTCTCTCGATCTTTCGAAAAAGATGTACAATTGATTAAGATACATATTCAAGATATCCGTTTTCTTTTTATAATGAGCTTTCTTTTTACTCGTGAAACCTAAAGTGATGAGACCACAAGAGGTCGTTTGAACGGCTGTTAATGCAGCCAATACGGTTGGGACGATGACCGGAAGCATTAATCCACCAGTCACGGCCGTTGCCACCGTTACTCCTACCGTTAGAACTGTGCTCGCTGTTTTGAAAAAAGAATCGATTCTACTCCATGTTTTGCTGCATGAATTGTACTGTCTCAACTTTATTTTTAACTCTTCTTGTTTGTCTATCATGTATTGTTGTCTGCTTTCGAGTTCCATTTTTTAAGTCGTTAAATTAAGTGAATTTCCGATAAATAGAACCACGGAATATCCCATAGAGCGTGGTCGTTTGGCCTAGTATTCTTAAATATTCGAGTATTAAAAGTAAAAACATTTACGCGTACTAACGACATTTCTTTTTTCGTATGGTCCTCTTTAAGATGATAGGAATATTTTCTTTTTTCTTTTTCGATGTTTATCTTGGCTCTAAAAATATAACCACCAGCATGAAGGATGGAGTCGGAACCTTCGACAAACGTTAAATGTACTATAAACTCTCGTTCTTGTTGACTTTTATGAACATCGATAGAGGTGTATTTTTCACCTAAAGCGAAATATAGTTTTACGTATTCAAAGTCTGTTGTTCGTAAAAACTCGTGACTGCTCGATTCTATTTTTCCGTGTTCGTGTAAGCGTCGTGGAACTTTGTCAATGTTGCTTGATGGTGGATTTTCCGTCTCCAATATCATATCCAAATCTTTGATTCCAATGATATCCTTATCATTTTCTACTTCCATTTTAAAGGTGTCTACATATTTACCATTTTTCGTTTCAATTTCCTGATCCCTTTTATCAATCAAACGTATATTCTCTTCCAAATTACCATCATTGAATAATGAAATATGTTTGACGCCCTTACCGGTTTGTTTGAAGACTACTTTATTGACTTTAACCTTCATGGGAAACTCTATTTGAATCAGACAATTACCTCGAAAAGAAAACTCTTGCGTTTCGCCGATATCGAATACGTTTTTAGGTTCTCCGTATGCGAGAGAACCCACTTTTATTTCTGCTTTGAATCCGTATTTGTTTGATTTATAAATTTGGTCTTTTCTATCGAAGACAGTGTCACTTTCGAATGGTAGATTGAAATAATACGATTTGTCCGTGACAATAGCTTCTAATTTGCTCAACTTTCTCTCTTGTCTCAAAAAATCGTCATGAATTCTAGATACCAAAAGATTGACCTGTTCTTTAATATAATTTTTCATATCATCTCGAAATTTATTTTGAAGAAAGTTTTTAATCACACCCACTTCTTTTTCTAATTCGTCCGTGATTTTAGTATCCAAAGCAGTCAATTGTTGTTTCAACGTATCTTTGTCAATGGGAAGTGTGTTAATTATATCTTGAACATCTGATTTTTGCTTTGCGATCTTTTCGTTCAAATTGGATATCGAATTTTGTAACTCGGTTTTGTCCGCGGTCTTGTCTAGTTCTACTAGCAATTCGCCAAGTTTTCTCTCCAAAGCGTTTAGTTTTTCAATCTATCCTCGTTTACATTTGGGTTGTCTATTAAATGTTGGACGTCTATTTTTACCTTCCTAATCTTATCGTCTAATTTAGATATCAACTCACTTGTTTTATCCACTTGAATAAGACGTTTCAAACTCGTTAACTCTTGTTGTAGTTTGGGTTCGTCCACAAGATTTTTAATATTTCGTCTGATGAATCTTTTCCCGTCATTTATTCTATTTTCAACATGGTCCTTATCTATTTGAATTGTGTTTATTTGATCCAGTAAATATTTCTTGTTCACGGCATCGTTATCGTTTCCTGGAAACTTTAAATTAGTTATTTTGAAATTGTTCATATCGATATCCCCTTGTAAGGTGTCTCCGATTTGATCCACGAAAAAAGGTTTCGCTTTGTTTATAAACGTCGTCATGGGATTTTTAGATTCTAGAGGTATAGACCCTAATCCAAACTTGTTTGCCATTTTTATTGAGTTAAATTTATTATAATTTCTTCAAACTTTTCTCCCAAACTCAACCGATATAAAACCCAAAGCGACAGCTGTCCACACAGCTTTTGTCCTGGCATTTGAATTTGAAACGTAGAACATTTGATTGGTTTGCTAGTCATTTTCGTTATCTCTTCTGTCGGTTCTAGACCGAAAGAATCAAAGAAATAAAAGTTATTCGAAGAATCTTTGTGTAAAGCAGAGTGATGAACTCCTTTTTGATCCGACGTGTGAATGTTTGTGATGGCGTAAAATTTACCTTTCTTGTATTTCAGTTCATCAATTTCATCTCGCATGCAATAATAAAACGGCGAGACGTTCAACTCCTTGGCCCATTTCACAAGTTGAAAATTTGTGGTCGTGTCTTTTCCGTATTTATCGAGAAACGCATTCATTTTTTAAGTTGATTTTTTTTAGGTGTTTTTCGAAGTAGGCGGTAAGTATTGCTGAAGACCCAATTGACGAAATATATACGTAGTTTGTGTTTGAAAAAACTTGTATAACATTCTGATAAAACACATTCAATAATATTTGAAGATAAATTACAT